TTTTCCTTTTATGGGAATTTTAAGCAAGAAAAAATATTTTATACCCTTTATCACAAATGATCTCCAGCTCAGAAACTCATGAACTTTCAAAATAACTGGTGCAGTGAGATGGGATTTCTGGTCAAAGTCTATTCAAGTTTGGGAGTCTTGTTTATCCTTCGGTTGTATGAGGAAAGGCCTGTGACAGTTTTCTTTTCTTCAGTTCTCTTGCACCCCACCTTACCCTTATTATATCATAAAAACTACTGTATATATATTATCATCATCATACTCGCTAAGTCAAACACTTTCCAAAATACATTTACAAACAGAGTTAGTGGGTCTATTGTTTGTTTTAAGTCAATCCACACACACAATAGTTTTATAGCAATATTTGCTACGCCATTTTCATTTTTCAAAAAATTTTCATCCAAAAAACTGAAATCAGTTTACCTCCTCAAGATGATCTGTGCTCCTCAATCATTCAATCAGATTTCGCTTAAAGATCAAAACAAAACTAGATCAAACTTAAACTGGTTTTGTATCACAACAACAATCACAACAACAACAACAACCAATACACTATCAACAACTATAACAACAAACAACGCCACGTATACTCTATTATCTATGGTAACCGACGAGTCAGAGAGATGGAACAATGAGCCTGTCTGGGAGCTTCCGAGAGGAAATAGTAATTTTCTACCTATAGATTTTAGTTTACTTAATGTAGTTCTAGTTATAATTACTTTTATTTTTCTTTTCAATTTTTTACATTTAAAAAATCAAAAGAAATCACAAAATTTCCTAAGTAAATAGACATAGTTGCTATTCAAGCACAGCTAGTATATAGTATTGTTTTGAATTTCTTTTTCAATATTAGCTAGATATGTTTGTATAGGCAGGCTAGCATTTAACTTGCTATATATGTACATAAGAGATACTGTTTCTTTTACAATATATACTATATTATATACAATATCAAATAAAGAAATAATGCTTATTTATGAGGAGAAACCCTTCAAAAAAAAAAACAAATATATTATCTAAAAAAACTCTCTCTTAATTGCATCCATTTTGTTAAAAATTTTTCTTTTATGGTAATTTTAAGCAAGAAAAAATGTTTTATACTCTTTATCACAAGTGAGCTCCAGCTTAAGAACTCAAGAACCTTTAAGACAACTGGAGCAGTAGAATAGGATCTCTAGTCAAAGTCTACTCAAGTTTGGAAATCTTGTTTATCCTTTGATTACATGAGAAAAGGTCCATGGCAGTTCTCTTTTCTTTTGTTCTCTTGCATTCATTCTTCTCTTTATTATATTATAAAAACCATCCATATCAATATTATTACACTTGTTAAATCAAACACCTTTCAAAAAACATACTCAAACAATATTATTGAATCTATTGTTTGTTTTAATACAATCTTTACATATAACCTTATCATGACACTATTTATTGCACCATTTAAAAATTTTTAAAAAACTAAAATCAGCTTATCCCTTCAAATGATTATTACTCTCCAACCATCCAATTAAATTTCACCAAAACAACAAAGAAAAAACCAAACCTGTTTAAACTGGTTTTTTAATACAACAATAACAATAACTATCATAACAACAAATAATATCAACTATACTTTACTATTCATATTAACAAGAGTTATGTCTCTAAAATCAGTATCAGTACAAGGGCCAGACTATTGGTCACCTTTTAGATATTCTTTTTATTTACATAGATTTTATAGTATAGGCAACTTAGTTTTAGTTTTAATAGCCAATATTATTATAACTCCAGTTTTTTTTTCTCTTCAATTTTCTTTTATTTCCTATTCATCTTATGTTTAATCAAAAAACTTTGAGTAAGTAGGTATAGCCATTATTCAGTTATATTTAGCATATTTAATATTGTTTTAAAATTTTTTTTCTATATTAGCTAGGTATAAATATATAGACAAGTTAATATTTAATTTGTTGCATTTTTGTATACAAGAGATATTATTTTTTTTACAAGTATATATAACTTTAAAGTATAATACCAATAAATAAAAAAATGATGTTTATCTACTAGAAAAAAAAAACAAATATATTATCTAAAAAATCCTTGAACAGAAAAGTTTAAGGAATTATTTGTTAGAAAAAATAAAAAATAAAAAAACATTTGAAGTAAGATCATTAGTATTATAAAATATTTGGATAAAAAGAAAAAAAAAATTGAAACTTTTATTAATATAGTTTCTAAATGCAATTAGGTATTTCAGTTAGGTGTTAGCATCATATAAACCATATATAATTTGATGGATTTGATTATGTGATATTAAGGATCCTAACAATTCTCTTCAATTCTGTATTCGATCCTCAAGTTTATATTAAATTTAAAAAGTGAGATACACCCTATCATCATTTTTAATAGTATTCTGAATCTCATATAATTCTTTGTGATTTTGTTTGATTTCAATTTTTGAAACCATATATGATATTTTATAGTATTGTTGTTATGTGATATAGTTGTATTGTGATATGAATAATAGGATAACTGGAGTATGTTTCAAATATCTATTATATTGTTTTGATAAGATATTGTATATTGTAATTATTAGAATCCATGCAAAGCACTGCTTATATATTTTTCCAATTTAATAAATTATTATATTGTTTTGATATATAAAGGTAATACAGAATATGATTGATGTTTTATATATTGTAGATTGTTTAATAGAAGTAAGCTGGTTATGATTTTTGTATTGAAATTTTTGAATAAGGACTGATAACTAGTCAAAAGATTATATGAAATCTTGTATTAATTATTATTAGCAAAAAACAAAAAAACTCTAAAAAATAAAATACTGCCTTTTGAAAATAGAATTATTTTTGAATAAAAGATGAGAGATGTGATTGTTTTATAACAATTATGTATAGAGGTGGTCTTTATATAAAAAAAATTTTTTTTATTTGTCTTTTCTATTTTAAATTATTGTTCAGTATTATTATTAGTTATTAAATCTTTTAGTGTGAGCTATTGTTAAAACTCCAGGAGCCAATTTTATTCTTGAAATCTTACTATTTTAAATCAGTTCTTCAGTCTATATCTTCTTCTTAAAGAATATATTCCACTAAACAAAGTTCTTTAAAAGAAAGAAACTTTTTAAAAAGACAATTTTTTATGAATGGAGATGTTGTAAGAAAGAGTTTTTTTTTTATCAATATTATAAAATTATATAAAGATATTAAAATATATTTTGATTCAATTGTTAATATCAAATATTAAAAATAACAATAGTAATAGTTTTATATATTAATTTTATTATTTGTTATATAATATATTGAATATTAATTAATTGTTATTATTTAAATAGAATATAAAATAGATTAATAAATTTTATTATTTGATTGATCTTATTTTTTATTAAAGAGTAATTATAAATATATTATATATTTTTTATATAAAAGTTATATTTGAAACAATAAGAATCTTTATATTGTTTAAAATATAATTTATAAAAAAATTTATAAATAAGACATATTCTAAAAGTAGTTTAAATAATTAAATTATTAAACTTATTATTACAAAATTTTTAATAGATTTATTTAAGAAATTAATTATTTTTAAATCAAATTAATAAAAAAAATTAAATATTTTAAATATAAAAAAGTTATCATAAATTATATATAATCTGATAATATTAAAAATTCTTTTGAATTATTTGATATAACTTTTGTAATGTCAAATATATTATTTTTTAAATTAGAAATACAAAATTAATCTTTGCTTATTTTTTAAAAAATTCAAAATTAATTTAAAAAATATATATACTATTTATAATTAATATACAGTAAATATTAAAAATAATAAAAATTAAATTGTATAAATATTAATAAAAAATTTTTATTTTAAATGTTCCTTACTATATTATATAAGGTCGGTAGGACGAAAGTAACAAGATATTGTTTTCAAAATTCATAAATTCGTTGTCTAATTCACAATTCTAATGATTTTTCTATTCTCGCCTACTTGTTACTAAAGTATTTCTTATATAAAAAGAGTTAAAATCACGATTTTATAACTTATGTGGATTAACCAAAAAAGGAATTTATAATATTGAATGCATCGGTCGATTGCCAATATTTTTATTGTTTTTTTAAACATGAACCTGATAGATCTGAGACGCTAGCCTCAAACTCTTATTACGTAAGTACAGCGAGATATCTTGAGCGATTATTAACTTCCTATTTCGACAATTGTCAAATATGTGCTTACAACATAATAAATCCTTGTTTTCGTAGATCATTTACGATATCAATAGAATATGAAACTATTTAATTCAAAATTAGTATTAGCCTCGATTTCGTTGTTAGTTCAAGGTAAAACTTTCGAACAATTTGAATCTAGTATTGGGATAGTTTATTATTATGATTATTTGGATCAGAAAAGTTTAGTAGTATTATTGCACACTTAGTTTTATTAAAAAATTCCTACTTTTTTGTGCATATTTGATTCTTGATTGGTAATAAAAGTTGCGATAAGTTAAAACTTATCACTCCTTTTTATTTTTTCTCTTCTTTCCTTTCCCTTCTCCCTCCATTCATTTTCCCTCTCTTCATTTTCCTCTAGGTGCCTCCTATAGGAATTACTTGTTCTTTGTCCTCACCCAAAAATGCTTGATAGTTCTTTATAAAGAATATCAAAGCATCTCTGTATTTTATGTCAAGTTTTTAACCTTGTAAAAAAGAAAATTTTTGAAAAGTGAAAGGCGCAGGATACGCCTCGAATTAAAAAATACCTTTTCATAAAATCCCTTTTAATTAGATCTGTATAATATACCCTATTTTTACCGATTGTAATAAAGTAAAAAAAAACTTCTTTTTTTCTGAAGCATTCTCCTTCCCTGATTCAAAAACATTCACCCTCGTTTTATCATTTTCATTCATTTCGCGAAACGAAAAATAGTCAACCTCAAAATTAATTACGTGAACGTAATTCGATCCTTTAAGAACTCACGATCAAGATTTCCAAGTCAAAAAATGAACGAAGATTTATCTTGCTTAATCCTAAGTTCCACTAGCTTAGGATTATCTGCTCTTAGCATCCTCTTCATATTCTACCATGCCTTCGTAGACTTTAATTTCATAATGCATTTCACATGTTTCATCGGTGCCTGCATAATCACCGCCTTGGGAACGTTGGATTTCTTCCGCGCCATCTACCTAATAAAATTCTCTACAAGTCTCGTAGGCATCTACTTCATCTCTACTTCGATCACAGTAATACTTTCCTGCTACATAATACTCCAAGTAGGCACCAACTTTTACCAAGATTACAATATCGTAAGAACAACCTTAATGTATGCACCTATCGTGGTAACTTTTGGAGTTTTTGGCTGCTCGGTATTTACCACCGTTCAATTTTTATTGTCCGAATCCCAAAATCCAGACCCCACATTTATGAATATCACATTAGCCCTAAGTCTCCTCTCTGGCTTCTTAACGCTCCTTTACGCTATTGCCCCTTTATACAACATCCGTTATCAGACCAAACTTCAACCAGAACAGACAGCCATTTCTATCGTTCATTTCTCCATCGTACTCATCCTTTTCATCTCTCATTTCGTAATTTACGGTAAAGTCGTGTTGGATAGCCAATTCTTGGAAATGAGAATAAGCGCGATACATAATATAATATTATTACTTATATTTCCTGGGTGTCTGATTAAGCCGCCTAGAACGTTGGTAAAGAAGATTAAGAGAAATGTGTTGGGTGTAGAGGAGCTAACCATTGGCGGAGATTATAGGCCGGATATGTTACCTAATAATTACGCTGATACTGCTCCGGGACCTAAGATTTCGCATCTAACCCCCGAGCTCAGAAATAACAGAGATGTTAATAATAACAATAATCTTACAGTCAAAAATTCAAATAACATTAGAAATGTTGATCCTATAAACGCTAGTTCTAAAAATAAGAATGGTAATGATAACTTTACTTATTCACCGCAGGAGCTCTCGTCGAACACGATAAATGTGCAATTAAACAAAGTGAATGTAATTGGTAGTGACAGTTACCTTAATGGAAGCAATAGCTTCCCCAATGTCAATAACGAATTTAAAGGAATCAATAATTCCTTTATTGATAATATCTTCAAGGGTAGTAGAGTTAATGAACTTCCAGAAATTGCGAAAAGAGCACGTAATTAAAATAGGCTTAGATTCGATTATTGTGGGGTGGGGACTTGAACTTTTCAGAGGGCCTAAGACTTGTATTATACAGTGACTCAAAATAAAAAAATAAAAAACATTGCTTGATCAACTTTTATCGAGGTGTATAAATGATATAATCGCGAATAATATGGTATGACTAGATACAGCCTGATTATTTGGCCGCATTCTATCTCTAAAACAAAATAACAATAAAAAGTAAAACCAAACTCTATACAAAGTTCATGATCATAGGCGATATATAGAAGACAAAAGTGAAGTCCTCATTTTTGTTGGAAATTCTCAATCACATTACCTCAACGACACTATACATTCGGCTTTTAAAGATATAATTTTTATTTACAAATCAATAAACTTCATAATAGATTTTTAAAATATAAAGATAAAAAAATAAATTATATTATATATAATTTGTTTTTTTTTTTAGTCTCTAATCAGACTGCAAATGGAAGCATTTATTAATCCAATTTTTGGAGAACAATAATACAATACACATGATATTATACTAAAGCTAAACTAACACAATTTTGCAAAACACCCATTAATGAGTTTAGATTTGTATGTGATTTTTAAATTCTTAATACCAAGATCACCATGTTGCCCATGAGATTTAACTATTTACTAACTATCTCACTACAAGGAAGTAGGTTCATTAAGCTATTACTGCATAATATTAACTATCTTAGACTTTTTAAATCTTAACTCTTTAGATGTGATCATGAAGAATAATAGAAATTGCTCCTTTTCAAGACTAGGCATCAAAGACTATGTCTTGAAAGATCTTAGCCAGCCTACATTCAGACTGTCACCTCAACACAAACCTGTGGTCCTAAGAGATAAAAAAAATTTTTTTTTTAAGAAAATAAAGAAAAATAAAAAGAGTAGTTGAAAAGTTTGTTCTGGTAAATAAAAACTCTCCAATATTAATTTCAATCTATTGGAATAAATCCTTTACCACCACCTGCAACTGGGCAAACTATTTAATTTTTACTATTCCGTTATTGATCAAAAATATTCAAGATACTTATAACAAGTTTTATACTTATAAGGAATTATTGCTTGAAACAAGACTTATACCTTAGGGAATTATTGCTTAATGCCTTCTTGAAATAATCAACAACTGAAAAAACTTGTTACTAGATTGAAATGAGATTTCTTTTGATCTTGAAGAAAAAAGAAACCAGTTCAAGAAGAGAGAGGGAGCACTATAACTAAGGATAGGTCCCTAAATTATTTAGTATATAAAATTTTACAGATCAATTATGTCCCTTTTGAAGGAACATAATTATTTATTCATTACTTTAATAGGGACATAATTCAAAAAACAC